GTTTTCAGGCAACTGTAACCTCAGATGGCATATTGCTGTGTAGCTATCATGGTCTAGGCTAAAAAATATCAGCCTGAAAACTCTTTCAGCTTCTGGCACCTAAATCCTTTGGTATATGGATTTATTTAGAATAAATTGTCAGTCAGATCTGTAGACCCAATATGTGCCTCATTAAGTGTTTGACAGAGACATATCGGACAGTAATCAGTATTGATGCTTTCTTAGTAGTGGTACAGTGTGGTATGTGATAGCATTGCTTGGACATCCCTGAAGTTTAATTCCATTACTGCATGAAATATCCTGCTGTTGGTTCTGGGGAGGTGGCTGAGTCTTGGGTGTGATGTATGGGCATTGAAGGCATAAGCTTGCTTTTTCAGAGATCTTGGAAACAGAGTCAGAGTGTCTGATGTCTGCAGAACCATATTCCTGTGACAGTAACGGTGTTCTGTGGTTATGTAGAAAGGTAAAACTTAGAGATTGTGGTGCATATAGCAAGTTGCTTGGCTTGGCTATGAGGAGCTAAATGCCTGTTGAGGTCCTTGGGATTAGTTTGCATGTAGCCTGGTTACATACCCTTGAGATTAGACTTTTCTATGTTAGTTACTAATGAAGTGTGGATATCTCCAGAAGAGATTATGTCAGCCTCCTCTGGAATAGTTCACTTCATGCTGGAAATGTAGGATTATTTTATGTTGAGCAAATCCATCCCTAACTGGAGAAGGATAAAGGTTATCCTCATTTGTCAGTAACTAAGAGGAGTTTCCAAACACATTTGGAAAATGACGTCTAGACAAGTGTTGTTTTTTTTTTTTACCCAGTAATTTTTAAGAAACAAAAGGACAGAAATAGTCCCTACAGTTCATGTACTGTCAGAATTCAGTCTCTACTCTAGATCTGCTGGAACATTCCTGCAGGAAGTAGCAGTGACCTCAGCTATGTGGGGACTCATCTGTGGCTGTGTGTTCACCTTGTAAGGCAGGAAGTCTGAACTGCACGGTTTGTGAAACCACTCCAAATATGTGCCAGTTAGGTGCACTGTGTGTTGACAAGCCCTGCATAGACGCTGTCTTCTGCGTTTCGTTTTTGCTCTTTCCTGTGCTGTCACTGGGGGACAGAGAAGGGATGCCTGTTGGACATGCAGCATCTAAGTAAGAAAGCATTGCAGTTTTAGAGTTCAGTGTCTCATACTGTCTATGATTTGTAGGGCAAAGCCAAGGCACAGATGGAAGGTAGACTTGTAGAAAAAATGTAAGGATGAGGAAGCCAACTTTGTCTTGAATAAATGACATGAAATGCTGTTTCCTTTCTGATAAAGTCTGGGACTTCTGCACCTCTAAGAGTTTCTACATTACAAACTTCTGATATTTTTTAAATTATTATTTTTAATAAAGAATCTTAGAAGACTTTTGTAGGTAAAGAACTCAGCTGTAGTAATTGGCAGTGGAAGCTTTCAATTAGCAGATTTTTTTTTTTAAATTCTTGTGTTCCTAAGTGTAGTATCAGTTTTCAGAGAACACATGGCAATCACTGGTATGTTGACATTTCCTAGAAAAATCAATTGGATACATTGTAAAAGGAATGTTGTCTAATGCAAATAAAAGACTTGTAGTTTTATTTACTCCCCAATTTTTCGTCCTGCTATATATTTTTCTTTAAAAAAGCAACAAAACAAAAAAAAACTTATTCAGCTACATTTATGGCATAGACTTTATGGGGTCCGTGGCAATATACAATACAAATTTGTATTGCATTCAATACATTTGTTGTAGTTCTTCCTATGAGAGTTACAGGTGATTTATTATCTCTGCTCCGCAAAGGTTCAGGATAAGACATGTGGCTGAAGTTCCTGACACACGTAACATGTGAAGAGAACCTCATGGCACACCTATGTGCAAACAGTTGTGTGAAGAGATGCTCAAGTTTCTAAATGTCTGTTTTGTGAGAAGTGCAGCAAGGATTGGCAGATTGAGATAAGGAGAGAATGATTACATATATGGATGCAGCACACTGATTGATTTAGGAAAGGAAATTTCAGGGAAATAATTGGCAGGTGTTTTGTCCTGTTTGCTGACTTGAGCTGTGAAAGAAATGTTGTGAGCTTGAGGGATGCCCGAAAGAAATCTGTATGTCACAGTTGTGTATTTGGTGATCAACTCGGGAAAATCAGAAATGGCTTAGAGAGAAGAGCCTGCACTATTTAAGGAAGAAGAATAGTTTGTGATGGGAGGATGGGAAGAAAACATCAGTCTGTGCTGAGCATACAAATGTAAAATCAGATGAAATGCTGCATGTGAGCATTTTCAGGGTGACAGTGGGAACCTCTTGCAGCCAGCAGTGGCTTTGCTGAGTGCCAGCTTCACTGACAGAAAGAGTGTGCTCTGAGAAAATGAATATGGAGAGATGGACAGATGTTTTGGCTTTGTGGTACTGATATGTACACTTCAATTGTTTCGTTAATCGCGTGTAAATGAAAAGATAAATGTTCGGTTTCAGAAGTTATCCACCTCTGGAAAATAGGCCTTTACACCTAGAAATAGAAATCTAAGGCAGAACCAGTGGAAGCCAGTACACAGGCTGCCAGCCATTCGTTTCACTTGGAACATGTTTGGAAAATGGATAATTATGGTAGGGAAGTAATAAAGAGCTCAGCTATCTGCTGCCTCTCACGACGTCTTGTTGCCTACACGGTGCTGAATGCCAAATTGGAGTTCTGCTGTTTCTGTGGTCTATGTGGGTGCACCCACTACTCTCCTTTGCTCAGGAGACCTTGGGACAGAGGAGAATCAGGCTCTTTTTGGGGTGTGCAATGCCCAGAGGATGTTGTGCAGCAAACAGGGACGTGTTTAGCACGAGGCAGTGTCTGGCACTCTGGGTGTTGTAGCAGAGAAGACCTCGTCAAATCAAGGATTTTGTTAAGTGAGAATGCAAAGTGAGCCAAAAGCTACAAGAACGTTGCTGTGGGCCCCATCTGGGAAAATGCCACAGATGAGATATTGTGGGAGTATGTAAGAGGATAAGTGGTAAGAAAAATGATATCTCAACATATATAAATCCTCAAAAATACATGAGGGTATAAAGTCTTAATATTAATTTCAGTGATATTGAGAGATTTTTTTTTAAAGTGGTGCCTCTAGGGGCTGAAGTAAATAGTTCTCTTTAGTATAAACGTTCGATTGAATTCCCAGTGTGCCAAAGTGATTGGATATCACTAGTAGTCTAGAGTTGCATGAACTGAAATAATGATTGGTGTAATCGAATCTAGCCCAGCGCTTCGAGGCACAAGCCAACCATTTGTGGAGATCAGGATGGAGCTCTTCCATCCCTGTGTAGGGTCACTTAATGGATGTTACATCAGGGAAAGTGTTTTTGTTTTGTTTTTCATTTCTGTTATAGATAGCTCAGGGGGTGAGTACAATGCCATGGACTCATCTGTTGAGGGGAGTCATTACAAGCAAGCCTCAGGAGATCTCGCTAACGGAAAATTAGTGAAAGGTGAGAGAGGTCCCACCTGCGTCTGTTCCCTTCAGACTACTGAAAGCTACGTTGTGGCTCAGACTGTATCACTAGTCAGGGGAATAGGGATGCCCTGAAACCTCTCCTACACCTCTGCATGAAGTATTTGTACGCCAAGATCTGGTCATTATATGTATGTTCAAACCAACACAGGAGAATGTAAACCTTAGAGTGCCAGAGGGAACCTGGTCTGAAACCTTTTCTCAGTTTGTGAAGTATGCAAGGAGATGGACTGTGGGCAGCTAGTGTACATTCACGTTGTGTCTCTCTTTCTGTTGGGTTTCTTGGGGGTCAAAACCTTGGAATCTAGCTGTGGAAATGCAGCAGACAGCTCAGGAAGCTAATTCAACATCGGAGGTATTTCCTCACAGTATCATCAAGGAAAAAAGAAAACCCTCTCTGAAAGCCCTGGAAAAGAGAGGAGAAAGATTGGAGAGAAATGTGTTTCAAACAGAGCCCTTGATTTTCATGCTGGAGTGCCACATACATGATGAATATATGGACATCTCCTCTACCCAAAAGGGCTTCGCATTGTTCCTTTTTAAAAGTGGGTCATTTACAGCACATGTGATTGTACTAGGTATCATTCATGGAGTCACGTGATTTAAATATTATGATTATTGATAAATGCCAGTTCCACTAAGAAAATATGTAAGTTAAAAGAAACACTGAATTGTGAAACTCTAAAATCTGAAACATTCCCTCCTCACCTGTTTTAAAGCAGAGGTGAAGAATTCCTCAGGCACAAGTCTTCACTGGAAGTTTTCCAGCTAGAGCCTCATTATGTGGTCCATTACTGCATTACTGTAAAACCTATTGATTTCAGCCATTGTGATGTGCTAGGAAAAATACCCTGTTCGGGGATTTAATCACAGCTGTAGCTATCAAGCCAACCAAAGAAGAAGGTGGAGCTGGTGAAGAACACAGCTCATCCACTTGAATTATGCAGGCCAGGGAACTGCTTGGTCTCTGTTCTGGGACATTTCTGAGGCAGGAGAGGGGCTTGGGTGCATTCTTGAGCCAGCTGGAGAGATGAGTTTTGGTGAGCTGCAGCTTGCTAGCACCAGGGAATCTCTGTTCTGGCTATGTGAAATGAGTATCAGAAGTGCATTAGTGCTGTGGACGCATTTTGAAGTAGCTGGTGCTCTTTCCTGAGCCTTTAATGGGAGCAATCAGGAAAGCAAGATAACTTGCCAGAAAATACAAATGGCTTGATAGTGAAGGAACAAATCTAAGCCTTGCATTTAGTAATTTTAGTTACGTGAGATATAGACTAATAAACTACATTTGTAATGTAGTTGCCACTTAAGTTTTTCACTGACTGAAGGTGACCAGAAGCTTTCTAAGTCTTCTTTGTTAAAATGTATGTTTAAACCAAAACTGACATTTCAGAGAATATGGAGTGATTGGCTGTAGACACATGTCTTTGTGTATCATTTCTGAATATGCAGATGCTGAAGAGTTTTTTTTTTTTTTTTTTTTTTTAGCAATGTAATCTTCAGGATGGAGAATAGAAAAAAGTGCTACTGGAATGTACAGAGTGGAGGAGAGGGATGGTACATCCAACTGGCTGTGGACTCAGCTCACAGCAAGTGCATTTCTCAAGGAGTTTGGGTGCCTGGTTCACAGATTGCAGCTGTCGTGGAGCGCACATCACAAGGCTATGCATTATGAATGTGTCTGTCTTTTAACTTGAGGCACAGGAGGAGTACAAAGGCTCTTCAGGGCCCTCCCTAAATGAAGGAATGGCTGACTTTCTAAGCTTATGTAAGTCAAATCTTGGGCATGCAAACATCAGCACAACCTCTGGTGAGAGGTATGTGGCTGTGACCTCTGTGCTAGCTGATATGGGAAATTCTGGACTTGCATTGTAGCCCTTTCTACAGTTCTGACTGTGAAGATGATATGTACTAGAAAGAAGTGGGGCTCTTGTAACAGCTTTAAGGAAATAATGTTGTCCACTATTTCTGCTTTCCCAAAAATGCAAGAGTAAAATTTAAAGCATTTATGATAAGGCCTCCAGAGTGTGTGAATGCGCCCAAGTGAATCCAGAACCTGAGACCCACCTGCAAATTGCCTTCTACTAATCCAGCCTTAGCATGAGTGCACTGATGACCAAAACTACCAGCTGCAGCAGATCTGGGAGCAAAGGTGTGAGGAGTACTAATATATCTGCAGAAAACAGCACTTAATTAGTTGACTGTGTTTTTTGCAGTTTCTGATTGTTCTTAACCTGTAGCAGCTTTATGAGCCTTTCTGTTATTAAGGGGTGACAAGGCCTCCACCCTTATAGGTATTTAGATGCCCTGATTTCTGTGGGAGTTAGGTGGCTCAGCACTTTTGAGGCTCTGAGTCATAGTTCAGTTAATGGATTTCAGCTGCAGGACTTGGGACTTGTAGTTAGTTGTGAATCAGGTGGGTATGTTGATGTTGGTTTTAAATGAAACACTTAATCTTGGTCAAAAGCGATGTTTTTCTTTGTGGAGCCTCTAAAGTCTACCTGTAGTGTGCTCCAGTCCTCTTTATCTCTTCTATAAGCCAGGCCTTGTCACATGGAGAAACATCCCAGCTTCTGTTGGTGGTGATGAGTAGTTAAGTGTGTAGCACAGAGTGACACTGTTTTTGTGGGACTTTCTCTCAAGTCAAGGAAAATGCTGAAATACGGTCTCTGTTTAGACTCAGAATAGCATCTAAAAATTGGGTATGCACTCAGATTTTGAAATCATTTACCTTTGCTTAAATTTGGAATGTAGCGTTTGTTTCAATAAGGTATGTACAGACCTAAAATGAAAGTAGCGCTACTGCAGTTGTTGACTTACGTTAAAATCTATATGGAATAACTCAAATGCTGAAATGTTTCTCTGGTGAAGGACATGTCAGACATAATTTTGATTGGGAAAAACCTAGAAGTAGTAGTGACTGGGGCCCATGCATTTACAAAGGTGAACCTATTCAATTTCATTTTGGAGCTAAGAGGAAAAACAAAAAAGACAGCCAATACATTATTTTTTTTTTATTTTTATCATCAGCATGCTATTTGTATCTGATCTGATGAAAAAATTAATATATCACTTCAAATTAGAAATCCTTCCATTGGATTTCTATGGCAGGCTCAGCATTTTGTAGAATGGAGAGACTGTAAAATCTGAGATGTCATGTTCTGTGCTTGTACGGAAAAAAATACAGTGCAGTGTTAGTCCTTGATTAACCCTTATACGAATGTTGTTTTTCATATGATCATTGCACGTATATTCCTCCCAAAGGACAGTGCACACAATAGGTACCCCTACATGCTCTGTTGTGAAATCAGAAAACAGCTTTTCATTCTCAAATTTTAGTGAAGCTGTTTTTGAAACAGCCGAGGTTTTCCAGGCAACTGCAGGGTTTATTTATACATCAGGAAACTTGTTGATGTTTAATATTTGTTCAAAAGCCTTCAGTAACGATTTCTACCAGCCAAAGCAACACACTTGACAAGGAGCAAAACTGAACTCAGCCAGCAGGCAATTTATGGCTCCATTCTGTGTGTCTGCTCTCTACGTACTACAGCAAATGTCAATGTGGATGCAATGAGGGAAGCTCATTGCTTGACCTCAGAAAAAAGAGTGACTTATCCTTTAATGGAAATCTGCTCCTTAGTGTTGAGAAGTGGTTCAAGGAGTCACTGGACTTCACCTTGGCATTTCCAGCACTTTCTTTTGCTCACCGTTGCTGTAAGTCCCCACACAATGCCTTATCTGGTACCTAGGGTTTGGTAAGGTTTTGTTCTGTGGATAAGGAAGAAAAAACTCCCTTGGCAGCAGAGAAGATGAAGTTGGACAGTCTTATGAACAGCTCACCCGATCACAAAGTAGGATCAAAATAAAGTGTCTCAGGTTTTGAGTGTAGCCATTGCTCTCCTGAAGTGGGACTGTTTGCCACTGATAACTCCTGCAGTTCTGCTGGGCCCTAAGTTAAAAGTGTTTTCACAAAAGGATGTAAATTGGATCTCTTGATATGTCCAAGTATTTAACTCACAGCCTGGGTTGGTTCCAGGCTTAGGCAAAGACTGTTAGGAATTGTTGCTTGAAAATGCTTTCATGGAAAATTGCCACACTGAGAGATTGCTCTTGCTGAGAACTCCAGTCTTGGCTACTTTTTTTAAATTTTATTTTATTTTATTTGTGTGGATTCAAAGCCAGGGCTAAGCAGTGTCCCGGGGGCAAGGGGTCCAGGCTAGAGAAGTTTTAACTGAGGTAGAAAATGTTTCTTTTTTTGTGAACAGAAGTTGTTTAAAGCTGTTTAAAGGAGTTCAAAGAAGGGTTAAGCTCTTTGTGCACACACGTAGCTAGAGACAGGAAAATGTACTCCTTGAATGACTGCTCTCATCACAAAACTTTACTGCTCTTTGCTTGCCATTTCAGTGAATAGAACAAAATGCTTCATAAGCATTTGGTTAATGTTTCTTACAACATTTTGAACTCTGCCTTCTTTTAGTATTTAAACTTACAAACCTAGCACACTGACTTACCATTTGGTTATAAAATTGACTGTATCACTTCTCTACCATGAGAAAATACTTCCTGCACGTGGATACCGATTAGTTATGAAGTACATAATGGCTGGAGTAGGTTAATAAATCTAACAAACAAATGAACCACCAGGCAACCTGGCAAATACGGGATAAAAAAAAGATGGCAGCTTAAATTCTTTATATAGTCATAAACCCCAACTCCTACCAAAATAATCATAAGTAATAAACTCATTTTAATAAAAATGTGTTTTTGGAGAGATAAGAAAATATATAAATTTATGTTAATGCTGCTTGTAGCAGACATCATTATAAATATTAAGAAAGTGCAGCTTATATTTTAATCACAGTTGTAATTTACATTCACAAAATATTTTTCTCCCTATGGTCAATTAGAGGGATAAAGATTTTACTCTAATTTTTCTAAATAAACATCTGAAATGAAACATGTTTGTAAAATGCTCTGCTGTTGATCCTCCTCTAGGACATTTTACCACTTTCAGGTAATTTGCAGATTCTTGTCTGGAATGGTTATTTAGGCACTGACATTTCTCCTGTGTCTGGCCATGTTTTGATGTTGGAGGAGCGTTTTAGATTATGATTATTGTGATGCTCTGCTACAGGACAGCGCCTCTCACTCAAACCTTTGCTTTTAAAAGAATGCTGCTGCTTCATGAAAGGAGAGAGATTGTGAAGACCTCATAAAATCTGATCTCTGAATCTTCACTGCATCCACACAAAAATTTTTCTTGGCAGGCAGTTTCTTGGCATTGACTGGCTGTTAGCAGGAGCAGCACATCTAAAATGCCAAAGTCCAGTTTTCTACACTGAGTGGTGGAGGCTGCATTAAGACTTCTTGCATGACATTTCTACAGATAGTTATGAATTCATTCTAAGTCCATTCTAAGGCAAAACTTACTTAGCATTGTAATGGAATGAACACAAAAGTTTAATCCAGCCAAGTGTTGAGCTGTATGTAAAGTTCATTAAGTCTTTGCTGGTCGAATAACACTTTGTGCTTGCAAGTAAATCTCAGCAAAGTTCGTTCTTGGTCCTCCCCTCAGGAGATGGGAATCTGTTCTCTTCTTAAGTTTCCTGCTTATTTTGATTTTTACTTAACAAAACAAAACCAAAAAATCTGCCAGTGTACTAGGTATAATATCTTTTTAAGTTCAGTTTATCTTTTCATAGAATGTTTCTGTCCCACTGAAACACGCTAACATGCCAAGAACTGCAAAATGTTAAACTGGGAGCGAGAATGTTTGCACCATATATTTGGATTGTAAGATTTGTGAGATACAAGCGTGTGTTTAAGTTAAGAACATTCTTAATTTGCTGAATTGTGACCTATTTGTTCATGTATGAACTCATTCTTAAAAATCAATACTATAAATACTATAAATGTGCTACTATAGGACCATTCTCTGCCCAGGCCAAACAATCTATCATTATTTAACCCTATCCTATTTACATGTCCGCTCAGCTGATGTGTAATTTATTAAGAGGAAGGAGGTAAGGTTATGTCAGTGCTGTTTTAAAGAAAAAAGAAGTATTCTTTCTGAATATTTAATGAAATATTTTTGAATTTATAAGACTGTTCTGACAATTCCTTCTGCAAGTTTGGGTGTCCCCAGGTGAACCAAGCAGAGATGTGCTTCTTTGGGTACAGCGGTATGTCTGGGGTTGGCAGGAAACAGATTGTTGTTATCGTGTCCACAGACAAATTCAGATAAATAGCTCACAAGGTAGGTCCTGAGGTTCTTGGTGCTTGCACTACCTAAAATAAGGTTCTTAGCTCTGGAAATAGAACTCAGAAGCCAAAGGCAAATGCTTGAGTTTTTGTATGTTGACTAGAGTTGAAAGAACAAATGTAATGATAGGAAAGAACTTCAAAATGAACAGCATGCTGTGCCAATGGGAGCATCCAAACTCCTCTCTTCTGTTTATTAGGGGCTTGCAGTCAGTGATCTCTGCAGATGAGTATCCAAATATCATTATTATTCCTACATTGAGAATGCAAAAGGGGCAACGGTATAGGACAAACAAAGCAACTAAACTCTTGTGATGAGAATGTTCTCTTTGGAAAGAAAGAATTTAGGTTAAATTTCACTCCTGTTGAGAAGGTTCATATATCCACCTCCAACTTTCAATAAAAATATTCTTCCTATCAGCAAATTAGCTATTTTACAGTGGTAGCAAGGGATATGTTCTACATCTCCAATTGAAACTGGGCCAGTGTACAACCAATTATACTAGAGTCATGGGGATGGAGAGAGAACAAGCAAGAGGAAGTCTATAATCTGATGGCTAATACTGAAAAACAGGGGTGTAAGGATAATATTAGCTTTTGAAAGAGGAGCCACAGATGTACTGGCTGCTTGACATACAGTTGCCTAAAGCTTTGCATTGTTATAGTCAAGTAAAACCGAAAAGTATCAAAGTACGGGGATGCAATAAATGAAGTCATCCAGGCAGAGTAGAGTTGTTATAGTGATTAG